TAGCAATGTTACCTCTGTATGAATTCTGCAACTAAATCAACTTTGAATGCTGCAGCGGTTTCCAGAAAAAAATCTAAACTTTTATTAGATAACTATTAATAAAAAACAAATGAGAAAAGTAAAATAGCTTATTCCCTGTATGGGAAGTTTGCTAATAAAGAAATTGAGAAAACCCGATGTAATCTTTTATTTCAGATTCAGCCGGTGAATTTGAAAAATGATCGCGGCGTCTGGATTGGGCCGGATCACAAGCGTCCCCCGCATCGTAACTCAACCTGTCAACGCTAATGTAAGGTGCATGCATCGTGCAGCGGCGATGGAACTGCTGTGAATCAGTCTTCATCTGTGACTGCTCAATATGCTTAATCATGTTAATAGGATGATCTTCGAACGGAATAGTTGTGTCAAGACTTAATATTGGGTGATATCTTTTGAATATATCGTATTAAGATTTGTACGCCTAAACTTTTATTTTTAAGTAGGCATCTAGTGATACAAAGTTGATCAGTTTATTACTGACCGGCTTTATTCCTGGTGTATTCAGTCTTATGTTACTTTTTAAGGATAGAATCAGTCCCAGCTTTCTATGAGACTGAAAAATGTGGCTGAAATGCGTAAAATAGTAATCAGGGACCCAATACCAATGATGAAATGATTGTTTACTATGGTTAGTAATGATTTATTTGAATATATATATATACACTATGTCAATCAGAAACGTCATTCTCGTTATTAGGTTGCTACCACTTGTGAATGAAGTTCATATTGTTTTTTACTTAGTAAAACTACTTATAACGGTAGGAGTATACTACAGTCAAATACAAACAGCATACTTTCCTTTTCTTTCACATAGTTTTTATACTCTTACTAAATGGACACGTGTCTTAAAGTGACTTTATGTTCCTATGAGCTTTTATAGTATGTAAAACAAATAAGGAAAATAGAAATCAGCGTAGCAAGGCCGTGAGACTCAAGTATAATCAATTATAAGGCTGGCTACAAATGGACAGCCTTATATACACATGGAATGACATAATATTAATTAACAATTAATATTAATTTATTTGTTTCTCATGTGACACTATGTTGGTTTACATAAAAAATATCGGATACCTAAAAGCAAACTAGATTTATATTGTAAATTAATTTTTCTTAAAGTGACTATTAATTTGTATGTCCCCCCCTCGCCTCTCTTTTGGAGGAGTAGAACTTTAAACTGTCACCATTCCATATTTCTAATAGGTAATTGTCTTCAGTAGGGATCGCTTTAATGTTAAGAGAACGTTTTATAAACATTCTTTATCCAGACGTTTACACGTTCGTTCATAAGATTTTCACAGCTGTAATATATTTTGTAATAGAACACGAAGAAAAATGTAAGATTCTGTCAAAATAAATGTATTAGGCTACTGACATCTTCCAAAATAGCCTTGTTGGACAGGGGGAATCGGATTACCTTATCGGACTTTGTTTCATAAGTCAAAGAAAAATAAAACCTCCCTCTTGCAAAGAGAAAGTAAACTCAACTTCCATCACAAGTGTTAGTTTGTTTTGATTGGCACCAAAGTAAAAAGATATTTTCAATTAATAATTAATTGTTTTATACGTAATTTCGTGTTATTGCCTACACATGTACACATCTGTAGGTTTTTTATAGAATAACTCTGGTTAAGGTATATGATCTATAATTGCATTTTGAACTAAAATTGTTTATGATTTATATATTCTATAGTTTAAAGTAAGTTGCCCTGTCAGTTTAGTATGGGTAAAAAATGTGCACCAGGAAGCTAACTGTTACCCAGCGGCAAACTTCATCAGTGAACTAAATAGTTTTTCCTAAACTGGCTAAAACTGAAAATTGGGAATAATTTATTTACTTTACAGTATTATATTAGTAAATAAAGGTATACTTTTCATTTTGTAGTCAGTTACAGCTGATGTAAATGGTATTGTCTTCTTGATAATACAACAAATCACACTTCATTGTAGGGGATTGTATGTTGAATTATAAAATAAATTATGCAATTTGTTAAATATCAAAAGCCATTTGTGTAATTTGTTCATGATCAAAACAATAAGTTAGCAAACAACGTTACTGATTTCGGAAATCCTGGCATTGGTAACTCCTTTGCATTATCATAGATAATAAATAAACTGTGGATCAGATTAAAGATATTGAAATATATTGTTTCACTTTTAAAAAACTAACACTTTCTACGTAAGCAAGTTATCTTCAGCAGTGCACACTGTAAATGCTTATCAAATTGTATACAGTTCCCGATAGCACCCTTTAATGCATAACTTTTTTGATTGTTTTGGATAAATTAATAGCCTACAACGAGGCAAAAAAATTAGATTCAACGAAAACATAACATAAGCGTAGATACTTGGTAACAACAACAGGAATTATTAATTATGACTAGTGCGATCCTTATAAATATAGGACTGTAGAAATAAAACAGCCAAAATTGTAAGTTGTAACTTACTCTGTGTCCTGAAAATAATACTCTTTTTAGCCACAAGAAAAAAAACGTGACCAAGTCAAAAGTATAAAAATTCAAACAGCAAGGATTTAATTAAACATGTTTTCATTTCAATAAAATATTTTGCATTACAAAACAGTCTAAAATGAATCATTAAAAAAATATTAGTAACACGATAAAATTGTCAAAACATTCCATGTTCCATGTGTACTCTCTAATAAGTATATTCAGTTCAATCATCATGTTAGGAGGCAAGAGTCGTTATTTCAGTTGTGTTGCTATCCACCTCGTTAATTTTAATAACGTAAGTGACTTTTAACTACAGAACAATCAATAACTCCTCCGCAAGTTTTCAATCACACTTCGCACCCTCCGTCATTCCAGTAAGTGGCAGAGCCGCTTCAATTAACGACAAATTATACAAAACGCACAAACACGGCCCTAGTTTGGGACCTCCCTGCGTCACTCCGTCTATACTGGTGAGGGTGGGTTGGTATAGTAGGCGCCTTCTAGAAAACACATATCTAGGGAGAAAGAACTTAAGTTTGATAAAGAATGTGTTTACTAAGTAACCAAAAAATCATGAGTTATTCACTTCATCGATAATCTTAATAATTGAATAAATTCATCGATTGGAAGCTGTGTTGAATTTGTAATCTGATGAAATTTTGTTATTGTGCTGTCAACCAATTAATTTTTTCTAATGAAATAGTGATGTTAAAGAGTATTGAAATGGAAATTCCAATAATGTGAAATCTTGTCCGATTGTAGGAAAATATAACTTTGCTTACACCTTCTGCGATCACCAATCCTAACGTAACCTTTCTGAACTGTCACCATCGTTGAGTAGCAGTAGCAGTAGACTACATTACCGTAGCACACTTTTAGACTTAATTGTAATTGAATCGATAAACAGTAAGAGAAAAGACGGAACATTACAAAACGAAACACAAAATAAAATACCTGCCTATGTAAAAAAATACTATCTGACGACCTACACTATTGAAATAATTATTTAAATTCAGGCCTATAGTGTTTAATTTTTACTTCCGAAAAATTTACTTTGTTTTATTCGTTTAAAATGGGACGATGGATTAAAATTATAGCTTCCTCACGTTTTAACAGTGTTGCATTACGAAAACTTTAAATCGTAGAGTATAAAAGATTATAAATACAATCTTTTCCAACAAATCCCATGGCTAATTCTGAATTGGGAAGATCAACCCTGATAAATATTGTTTCTTAGTTTCAACCGAAACACGAACAAAGACAATTTTCCGTGTTTCTACATCGTAAATCTAGAGTTCTTAATGACCGTCTGGAAAGAACGAGAAGTAAAAAACAAGATGCATAGTTCTTGCTAAATGCACGGGAATATTTCGCTATTCAGCAGCTCTGTTGGCATTTTCTTGCCCCTACCGTATTATTGCCCTTGTAATAAATCAAGCCATCGATTTCGGGGGTGGACAGAAGAAATAGGGAAGGAAATGAATTTGTCACACGTTGTCGCAAGCACAGCTGGCGCGGACCCCAATTTATGTTTTGGAAACGAGCAAATAATTTGATACATCTTGTCGCGAACTGATTGATTTTCTTTCGCACCATAGAGAAGGAACTGCTATCTTAGAGTTAGCATATTAAACTATTACAAACCACTAACTAACCATTAAACTATTATTCACGCCACTTACTGTAAATAGTGTACTATTTATTTGAAACAGCATAGAACGTGATAGATCATTTTGTAAGAGTGGAAAAGCCCCCCGAGGCTTCTCAAAGATGGTATTAAAATTCAATATGATTCGAGTTTGTTGAGATTAAGCGAAATAATATTCACGTGAGTAATTTAAATAAATCTAGGTTTTCCAGAAATTATAAATAATAAATAATATAACTACTAAACTTGTTAAAGTTATGAACAAGTGTTTAATTAAAATATTGTTTTCCAAAAGGACATTTAAGGAACCAATGAGACTTAGAAGAGAATTCAACTATCTCCCTTTTAGTCCCTTTTGAAGAATAGTTGGTATTTGAAAATAGCCTGCATTACTCTGAAATTGAAAATCTCATGGTGACGGATTAAGAATGTATAAGCTATTATAGTAAATATAAAACACTGTTTTAAAATAACTTGTAAACAAACAACTGTGTTTCATCCAGTTTGGGTAAATATTCAGCAAGGATCTAGGTAAGTCTTCATTGAGTTAAACAGCTCAGATTCTTTATCTGTTAGATTAGAAAAATTATCAAGTTTTTTATTATGGTATGCTATTATTTTTTACCCTGGGTATAGCTAGCCCATGGTTGACACCGGTACTTACCTGATATTTATGTATAAGCATTCAAGCACGTTGTCTAATCCAATAAATCCATTGTTTTTCGATTCCTTAAGCGAATAATCCTTGTTCCAGAAAAATCTTAAGAAATTGTCTTGCACACCTTTTAGCAATCTAAATAATAGACTCAATATTCAAATTGACTAATAAAGTAGCAGAGTCTGATTAGCAGTAGGATTACCTTAGAGAATATTCTTGGGTTTATCCAGGATTTCATTGGATCCGCTTCTTCCTGCAGGAGCTTCTCCGCCATTTGTGCCTTCAGGACTTTCCGTTGAACAGAGGATAGCGCCACCTCCACTCCTGCTTTGGGAGTCCTGAAACATGAGTTAGATATTTAATATTTAAAACTGTTGTTTTTATCTATCGATTTGTACAGGTGAACCCATAACTTATGTAACTACTGGGTTGAAATTTCAATCAAAGATGGATTAGAAATTCGGCCGACACGTGGGCTACGTCATTAACTTAGATTATTTGTCTTCATGGATTAGATGCACAAAATTACTATCAGTCATTTACGGTATGCGTAAAGTGCATTTTGTAGATTGCTATTTTATTTGTCATTGTAACAACTTTATAACTCTTTGGACGGAATAAAGCAATATGTTCCTAGGTATTATGTCCAAGATAGTAAAGATAAGATCATAACAGCTGATACAAAAAAAAAGAAAAAAAAGAAAAAAAACATAAGACAACATCGGTGCAACTGGGCACCACAACATATAACACTACTAGTACCGACTTAATATTTTACCATATGACGAGAGCTTTAATTGTGGTGTCCATAAATTGTGTAATCATACGGTGTCCATAAATTACACAAGTTAAGAAAAGAAAACGTTTTAACTCCATTAATTGCATTTAATTCTCACAATAAAGTTGTGTAGGCGAGCTTATCAGACCAGCAATAAGACGCTCTGTAAATATGCTTCTTAACAAAATTGCGCATAAAGAGGCATTAAGAGCAATTTTATATCTGGCAAATGTAGAGAACAAAACAAAGCATGCTCGTTATCATGCTTTATCTTGTGTTTTAATGTTCTGCAAGTAAACCCCATGAAATTGCTTTTAAAGGCTTTAACTTGCTAAAGTTCCCTATCTTTATACTTATTAGGTTTACTATGAGTGTTATCCTCTTTCCTTAATGAGCCTGCTTTACCGACAAAGGATTTTCTCGTTTAATTATGGATGATAAGAATTAACAGTAATTAATAATGGAAGCAAACAATGTTCTTTTGATTTTAGGCTAATTTGAAACAGTTAATCTAAGATTATGATTATGTAGTGTTTTTTCAAGGGGAAAATGCTTATTGTTACTTGTTTTTAATTAAAGTTGAAATGAAAATTTAATTCTACAATTTATTAAATTTTAAAATAATAGATTAGTTATGACAAAAGTTTAAACTAGGGGTGATCTTTACTTCCAAATTGTGTTCTTTGATAATCGTAAGCCCAGTATTTTTGTTAATATTTTCAATAATTTCAAATACATTTTTGTTATTGTAACAATTCAATATTTTTTTTTCCATAGAATAATTTAATTTTCACCAATTTTTTTTTCTTTTTATTTATATGTCAATCCATATCTTAATGCTCAATCCTCTTAAAACCATGTATACTAATTGTCCAAGCAGACTAATGAGTAAATGATTCAATATAATTTAATATAGGAAACAGCTTTTAATTAGTAAATTCAACTCCCCACTTTGTAAACTCTTATTGTAAATCCCCTTTTTCTACTATCAATTTTTGTACTGTTATTTAATAAAATTAAGTTTCTGTATTGTAAATTTGGAGTTCCCATTGTAGGCCTAAGAGTGATTATATTGTAAATCCCCACCTTGTAAAGAAACGACAAATTAGGTAGAAACAAGTTTACATACACGTGAAAATTGTAAGATAATTTAATCCAAAATTGCATGTGTAAAATTTGCTACTGCAATAGCACCCAACATAAAAATTCTAACAAAAACTAAAATATCTCCTAATTAGGTTAAACCAATCGCCAAATATGTAAATGTTAAACAAAATAGTCCCACAATCTGTATTTACCAAATCAAAAACCTATTATGAAATGTATTTAAAAAACACAAAAACCATGTTTATGTTAAAACGTCTGTACCCTCCTGCCTGAATTCTGACCTGTTTATAAATCTCCTGCAGTAACCAAGAAGAGTTTGAAGTGAATCTCCAGCCGACGTAATTACTTTTATTGCCTTTTTATGTGCGGGATTCCAAAGCTTTCAGAATCATTGCCAAGAACTGCGCTAGCATTGTCGCACGGCTGGACTGGAAATGTAGAGAATGCTCAGTTCTTAAGTAATTGAATTCTTGATACTACGACAATCCGGTCTGTAATATATAATCTGGATTTAATAGGTGTAACGTGAATTTAAAAGGGTACAATTTAATCATCATCAGATCAATGAGCCGAAGTAGGTCCGATTATTACAACGTGCTACTTTAGATGGACCGAAGAGGGTCCGATTATTATAACGTGCTACTTTAGATGGACTGAAGTGGGTCTGATTATCATAACGTGCTACTTTAGATGGGCCGAAGTGGTCCGATTATTATAACGTGCTACTTTAGATGGGCCGATGTGGGGTCCGATTATTATAACGTGCTACTTTAGTTGGGCCGAAGTGGGTCCGATTATTACAACGTGCTACTTTAGATGGGCCGAAGTGGGTCCGATTATCATAACGTGCTACTTTAGATGGGACGAAGTGGGTCCGATTATTATAACGTGTTACTTTATTTAGATGGGGCAGATTCAAAACAAACCATTAACTAATGCTGTGATACCATAACCGAGTGGTTCGGAGCCCAATTATAATAAAGTTACTTCTGTGCGGAGCACTATCACAATATTTGACATTTCCTCCCAAACTATAGTTTTTTTTTTCAATTTTAATTTTGTTGTTTTATTTTGACAATACTTTTTAAATTGTTATATACTTATTAACTTATTTTTAAAACAGTTTTAAACTGGCTTTTATCAACATTAGACAATTGTAAGTGATCACTTAGCCTTATATGTATAACCTCTATACTTAATATTTAGTGTATTTATTTGATTCATTATTCATTGGGGTTTGTTATATACGGCGTTTTATTACATTACTACATGGAGTTATGCAGACAGCTTATGCTAAATTTACATGTATTGTTTTCATCAAATATATTTATACTATTTCTTTTGTCTTCAAAATCAAATAATCGACCGAAAGTACTTTCACAGATTGAAAACTATGTTAATTGGGGGAGCGAGCTGGTCTTAGAGCGCGGGACATCAGTTCCTGAGGCCCGGGCTCAAATCCCACCAAATCTTGGATTTTATCTAAGTGATAGTTCCACAACCCCTAGGTCTAGCCTGAAGTAATGTAAAAAGGCAGTCCCGGACTTGTGCCTAACGTCCTAGGAAAAAAAACTATGTTCATTAGAACATTTTAAACATCCATAATAGTTTACAACTAAAAGAAATAGTGCTCGTTTTATGCAACTGTTAACAACACACATGATCTTCAGAAGCTATGGCCATACTCGTGTATATTTCAGTTGTAATAGACACATAACGGCTTCCAAGGGCATAATGGTAGTGTTGAAATGTGTTATGACCTGGGTATGCAGTAACTCAGACTGTAACACGTTACAACACCACCCTTAGTATTAACTCTTGCTCATGGAGAAGAGGATGACTATAATATTTCTTTGTAAAAATAAAAACATTTAATATAATTTTTCTACGCTAACGGCTAATTCTTGAGTTTCATTGCAAAGCAATCGTTTGAACACTATCATTGAGTATACGCGTTACGTGTATGTATACTCAATGACACTATCCAAAAATATAGAAGTCCTTTTCCAACGCCACTCGGTATATTTACACCTAGTCTATACCGTAATATTTCGAAAGATGTGGTGAATACGTGTGAATGAGAAAACCTTTTCCATTGGCTATAGAATTTGTCTAGTCACACCGTAAAAAATAACTATTTCCTAATCTCAGGGTTAGTGATAAGCGTGTGGTCGGATTTGTAATCGGTGAAAATTGTTTTCTATATGTCTACCTTCTTGTAAGAATATTATAACGGTGAATATATTGTATTTTTGGAAGACATTTATTATATCCATCAACAACAACACTTTACGCCAGTGGAGGAGTCTTCGAGACGACCATGTAGGAAAACGACAAAACCTACCACCAAAACCATCCAAAAACTATTACTAACTAACCAAGTTGGACATATAAAATAACTTGATGAACACCTGCTTCAAGGATTATTATTTACAACATTTTCAATTAGTTAAGGAAAGCTAACTTTACTTTGATGGCACTGCCCATGATTTAATACTGTTCTAGTATTATTATTATCTATAATTATTATTATTGTTTTACTATCGATCTTTAAATTATCATTATCAAGTTAAATGGTTGGTGAACAATGATTAATTTTAATGAACTGTAAAAAGGTTTAAGAGCAATATACTTTTTCAACCACCCTAATACCAAATCATATGTCAAGAATCAAATGATCGTTTGGAAATTGGAAAATGTAAAACCCATCCGGATTGTATTGTAATGATGTAAAATCGGATCTGCCTCCTCTCATTCCTGATGATTTGAAATTGTTATTTCATGATTAGATCCTTATACGACCGAGTATCTTGATGAATACACATGTTATAAATCAGTATTTTTTATAATTAAAAAAATGTATTACAATACAATATCAACCATTTCAAAAGTAATACACGTATTGACAAATTTATATTTTTGTACTGAAAATGAAATAATTTAATTGTGCATTTAAAATACTTATCTTTTAGGTAGTTTAAAGATTTTAGAAAACTATGCATCTTTCAATTCGAGGATATAATTGTCACTAATTAACTAAAAATTTACATCGTGTCTTATTTCCCTTAGAGAATGGTGGTATCAGTATTACATCGTTTTATTTGACTTAGACCAACAACTTTAAGACGAGACTAGGTTCGGGTCTATAAACGAGAATCAAGTCACCTGTGGGCTGTTTTGATAAATAATCATTTTCGTCCTAATGCACAAATTATGTAGATTGCATCACACGCTTCACATAAGTCATATTTTCCCTTTAAAAGTACATTTCCATCAAAAACATGGATTTCTATTGTACATATGATTACATTTTGTTTATAAATCGTAACATTAAAGTAGTTTACGCAACGATCGTGTAAAGATGGTCTTTAAGACACAAGTAGAAACTTATCGAGTAGAAAATTCTCGAGTAGAAAAAAACTTGCTTGGGTTAGCAGTTTAGGTCTATCGCTT